CCGCCCGAGTTGACAGGGTCTGGCGGTGGCCTTGGCATTGGCAGCTGGTGAGCTGTGGTTGGCCAGGTCAGTCCCAGGTCGCCTTGCCTGTTCTCTGCACGTCTCCAGTGGCCATACACAAACACAAGAATGAAACACCCCTCCCTCCCACCAACGAATCCTCCACCCTCCTGCTTCTCCACCACTACCTCCTCCTCCTTCTCCACCCTCACTTCCGCCTGTCTCCTCCTCCCCTTCCTCCTCTCCTCCTCCTCCTGCTGCTTTGGAACAAGTTTCCCTGCACACCCACTCACACCAAAGCCTGTTGTGGGGTACTGGCCCACCAGGTACCCAGGAGCCCTGCCTGCCAAGCTGAGCTGCAGCTCTTGTCTGCGCATCTTCTCCTTACAGTCTTGGTGCTCCTTGCCCCCACAACCCTTCTTGGGGGCAGGGGGAGGAGACTGCCTGTAGGCTGGTGCTAGGTCCCCGGGGCCGCTGGGTCTCCTGCCCTCACTGGCGCAGAGGCTCCAGGGTGCTGCCTTCCTGGGGCTCCCCTGGAGCAGTGTAGATGATCCTGAAGATGGGCTGGACCCTACGAACCCCTCTCCGGGGCATCGCCCCTCTGCCACGCAGCTCTTCCTCACCGGTGCTGGCTCCTTCTGGCAGGGATGGCCCCGGGTAAGGCTCCTCTAGGCCCCGCGTGGCCTGGGGGCCTGTCAGCATCATCAGCTGAGAGCCCACGGGGTGGGTGTTTGGGGGTGGCCAGAAGATGGGGCCGAGGCCAGAGCCCTTGGCCGCACCCTCTTCAGCCTCTGCTGCACTGGGGTCTCTGTCTGAGGCTTGGGCAGCCTGTGTGCTGGATGTGGCGGCCCTCTGTTTGCATCGCCAGTACCTTCCTGAGCTGGTTTTGGCTTGGATGGAGTCCTTTCCGGCTGGTGGAGGCAGACGGGGCTCGGCCTGGGCCTGGCTGCCCTGCCCCTCTTCCCCACTCAAGCCCCTTGCTATTTTTGTGCACTGCCCCTTTCCCTCATTAAAAATTTTCCATTGCCTGCAAGGGGAGAGGATGCCTGGATCTGTTGAGCCTAAGCTTCCTAGGGCTCGGGATGGCTCATAGCCCCAGCCCCTGTCCCGTTTCCCGACTCTTCTGCTGCAAGCTGAGGACTCTGCTTTGGCGAAGGTTGGTTCTTGGCCTGAGGACACGCTCCCTGGCTGGGGCCTTCCTCCCCGGTACTGTAGCAGCAGGACAGTCGCCTGCGCTTCAGTGCCGGGACAGCCCCTTTCTGGATGGTCTGAGTGCTCTTCTCACTAAATGGCCCTGCCTGTAGGATGACCTGAGGTGTTGGGACAGTGGCCTCAGCCACTACGTGCCTGCCCGGGGCCTCGCGGCCCCTTCCTACTTGCTTCTGCCCCTCCTTGGTCACAGCCATGGTGGTCTCCCACTCCTCTTCATCCCGAATGAGCTTCATTAACTCCAGGAAGGTGGGAGCGCACCCTCGCTGATCCAGGAGCTCTAGCTTGCCCCGGAGGGCAGCAGTCATGGAGGCCCGAGCCAGGATGTGTTTCAGGCGAATCATGTCTGTGCTTCTCACTGACAAGGGGCTGTGCCGCACGGCTCTCTGCAGCAGGGGCTCTAAGCGCAGCAAAAACCCCGAGATTTTCTCCCCAGACTTCTGAAGGGTCTGGAGGAACTTAAACTGTGAGGTTCTATAGTCCTCTTTATTCCCGAAGATCTGCTTCAGGGCGTCCAGGCACTGCTCCACAGTCATGGCGTCATCATTGGCCTGGAGCACCCGCATGACGGACAGGGCAGAGCCGCGCAAGCTCTCCACCAAACGGCGCCTCTTCTCTGCCTCAGACACTTGCCACATCTGCATCATCTCAGTGACCTGCTCCAGCCAGGCTTCAAAGTTCTCTTCGCCCGGGCTGGGGCTAGTGCTTCCTGAAAATACTTTCAGTTTCCGGTACCACATGCTTTCTGTCACAGGCTGCCAAACGGGTAGCTTGACTTGAGCCAAGCCCTCTGGCTCTATGCCCTCGGTGGGGGTGGTGTACCCCAGGGTCTTGACCACATCGACCATTCTCCGGCCCTCGTCTTTCAGGAAGTAGTTCAGTCTATGGAGAAATTCATCATCCGGGCTACGGGGTTTCACCACCACTTCCCAGGTACCTCCCTTTCCTAGTATCTGACTGGGCATCATAGCATAATTGATGGTGTCAGCTAATTCAATGAAAACTGACTTAGCATTGTCTTCCCTTCTGAACATTCTGCCCAGCACCCTGTAGTTGCACAAGGGCTGTAAGCCTGCCTTCAAGGTCTCCTTAATTTCAGCCTCACTACACTCCACAGGGATCCCCACGATCAGCAGGGCCTTCCTGGAGTCCAGGTCCATCCCCTTGCACCAATCCTCCAACAGTGACAAGGCCATCGCTCCCACTTTCTATGGACCGATCTATCACTGGGGGCAGGAATCAGCTCACAGTGTTGGACCAGGATTCAAAAAATCCTGAGCCAAGGCCAAGTATGAAGGCAGAATCGTCCCAGGTTTCCACAGCCTGTAACGCAAATGGGATGAGAGCATCATTAATGCCCACCGTCCCACCCCCACCAAAAAAAGCCCCTCCTCTTCCCCCACTTCCGCTCACAGGGATCCCTGCTTCTCAGGGCTTCCCCAATCATTTGGTGGAGGGGTCTCTTCAGGCCAAGTTACCCCCAACTCATCCCCTCCCTGCTGACCTCCTCTTGCTGTGGGTTCCTCCTCAAAGTCCGAGAACTCTGCTGTGTGTACTGGAGGTGCCTGTGGTGGAAAGGCTAGAGTCAAGAGGTGGGGCCAGATGCCGAGGAACACAGCCAAAGCCCTCCAAGCAGGAGTGAACAGGAGGCTGTCCCACTCCCTGGCTCAGGGCTCTGCAGGCCCAGGGCACCTGCTACCCTCTTCACTGGGGCGAAGGTCAGAGGATGGAGACGTGAAGTTCCCTCCTTTCTCAGAAAATGCCTGACAAATGAGAAAGATGGCTGGAGTTCTGCACAATGCAACGAAACTGGTGGGTGTGGAGAAGGTGTGACAAGCGGCAGTGTTGCCATGGATACGAAAAACAGCGGGGACCCCGAGTTTCCATCACAGAGGAGATTCAGGTTAGGGAGCAACAGGTGATGTCACCAGCCTCCGACCAAAGAAGTGTCTTTTGCTGTTGTGGGGGGAGGGGAGCTGGAGGGTGGGCAGCAAGGACCAAGTGCTGAAAAACACAAGAGCTTATGGTTTCAAATTGTGTAGACACTAGAATCAGGGGCCGAAAAGGGACCCCAAAAGGGTCTCCAGGACCACACTGCAGGAAACAGACAACTCTCACCCTAGGTGTGACCTTACCCTGCAGACCACCCCTCCCCTCCTGCTTTTTGTCAGTTTTACAGAGGCCCCTCCCAACATAGGTCCACTTCACAGCTGCTCACCTGCTGCTTAGGGCCCCCCTGACAGATGCGGGGATTCCACCCACACACTCAACAGTACGCCTTGCCCTCTAGCTCTGACCACAGTCAGGCAGTTCCTGGTCCCGGGGTGCTGGGTACTGCTTCACTGGATCTGTCCAAGGCAAGGTAGAAGTTTTTCACTATGATTCTGCCACAGACACCCCTGCTCAGGCCGCGCCAATTCTGAGTCTACAGAGGTGCCCACAAGTACCCTGGTATAAGGAGCCAAGAAACGGCTCAACTGGCAATCAGCATTAGAACAGAAGGGATCTTACAGTAAGATTACTGCCCCACCCTCAAGTCCACCGCCGCCCTCAAACCTTGCCCCCACTGTCAAGTTCCACCCCTCCCCAAGCCCTATCCCTGCCACCGAGTCCCGCCCTCACTGAAGCTCAGCCTCTGTCTTAAGTCCCACCCCTCCGGAGCCCAACCCCTTGAGGTCAAGCCCCACCCCCACGGAAGCTCCATCCCTGCCCCCGCCAAGTCCCACCCCTTCCCAAGCCCCACTCCCCTGAGCCCAACCCCTGACGCCAAGCCCCACCCCCCTGAGCCCAACCCCTGACGCCAAGCCCCACCCGCATGGAAGCTCGATCTCTGCCCCTACCAAGTCCCACCCCTTCCCAAGTCCCATCCCCTCCCAAGCCCCACCCCCACAGAAGTTCGACCCCTCCCCAAGCCCCACCCCCACCCTAGCCCAACTTCTGCCACCGAGCACAACCCACACGGAAGCTGGATTCCTGCCCCAGCCAAGTCCCATCCCCCTCCTAAGCCCTACCTCCACCTATGCCCAAGTCTCAAACCCCGCCACAAATCCCTAAAGAAGCCCTGCCCCCACCCAAGCTATGTCGGGGCCTCTTTTTAAGGCCTTTCCCTGCCCCAAGCCCTGCCCACACCCGAGTCCAACTCCTGTCCCGAAGCCTCCCACCCTTATTCCCCTGCGCTCCGCACACACACCTAAGCCCACCTTCCTAAGTCACCCCACCCCTTCACACACCCGCTACCACAAACGCCCCCTATTCCATTGCAGGAATACATCTGGTCAGTAGAAGCTGGTGGAGGCCAGGAGAGGGGTGGGACTGAAGACACTTTCCCTCCAGGGTAAGGCTCAGAGCCACTTGTCCTGACCGCAATGGCTCTGGGCGGGGTTAGGTGTGGAAATGGCAGGGAGCTGGTGGGGTGCCATGCCTGACCCAGTGCGATCCTACTTCCAGCCCCTAGCCCCTGGGATGCCAAGCAAGATGCCGAGGATCACTGGGAGGAATCCCATGCGGTTTGGGTTGCTCTCTGTGCCCCGGGCCCCAACTCATACCTGCTGGAGATGCCTCCAGATCAGAGCGCCGGAGCACCGCAACCACCCTGCGCCTGTCGCCTCCGCTGCCGCGGTGCAGGCTGGGCCAGGAGCTGGTGGCGGGAAGAGGTTGTGAGGTGACAGGACCCCCCCCCGGGACTGCACACGGCCCGCTCGCAGCTGCGCCCTAGCAGCGTGTCACCCACCACCCCCTCGAAGGGGGAACTCCGCGCCCCGCCCTGCGCCCCTGTCCCTACCTTCCCCCGGGCGACAGGGAGTGGGAATCAAGCTGGGGGCGCCTTACGTTACCGAGCTGGGCCGAGTCCAGACTTGGATTAGCTCGAAGAAGCCCGCCAGGCCTGCCACGTGCTGTAGCAGGCCTAGCAGTCCTTGCAGTTCCTGTTCCTCGTGTCTGTTCCCCATTGGACGGGATCTGTGGCGTGACAGTCACCAGCCGCTGTCCCTACTTGAATACTCCAAGCAGTCTGCACAGAGCTGAGTGCAAAAGTAAAGCCCTAGCGGGTGCTCACTAAAGGAAATCCAGATCCCAGTTTATCAAGCTGTTTTCTAGGTAAAAGAATACAGCTGCTTTCTGTGAAACACAAAAGCATGAAAATTTGCAGGGTTCACCAAAAGGTAGAAAACTATCAAAGGAGTTCACTCTCCCATTATACTCTCGACTGCACGACCAAGCATTACCCATCTAGTACCCAAACTGCTTCCCGCCCTTTTCCAGAGGCGATTTCTTCCACAAAAGGACGGCTGCAATGTTTGCCCAGGGGCCCGCGAGACACTAATGCGCTGCTCCGGATAAGGGCGTGGGTGAATCTCAGTTTAGTGCCCTGGAAGGCATGCACAGTCCCCGGGAGATCTCGATAAGAAGCCTAGCTCTGAGTCGGGAAGGCTGGGGTGGGACTGAGATTCTGCGTTTCTCGAAAGCGTGATGACTGATGCCGCGGATCCTTGACGGACGCTTTGAGCAGCACGCCTCCGAAGCCTGTAGTCACTTTTCAAGTTGTGGGACTTTGGTGACAGAATAAATTTCTTTTGCTTTATTTGGGACACAGAAGAAGAGGCTTTTTGATAAAGTCTTCATAAAAATATGAAAAGCAAACCAAATTTTAAATTAAAGATTACTAAGCAAGACATTTGCAGACTCCCCTTTGAGCACAGATACCCGCTACGTCTGGGAAGGGGAGCACAGACCTGAATACACCTTCCTTAATTAGAAGGAACTATTGAGAGGCTGGTTAATCACTCCGGTTCCTGTGCCAAGCAAAAGCGCTTACCTGCTGCTGCCAGAAAGTCGCAGACCCCAAGTAGGGGTCTACCTACCCTACCTACTTTTACCTGAGGACTCTCACAAGCCCCCACTCAGCCCCCTGGCATTACAGGTATCACGAGCTGTCACAGAGGGTGATACCATGGGAAGACGTGTTCTGACTGTGATCCTAGAAAAGTGGAGGTTAAGAAACACCTCTAAAAACATATATTAGTTTCAAGTGTACAACTTAATGATATTTGTATATGTTGCAAAATAACCACCGTAATAAGTCTATTTAACATCTATCGCCACACATAGTTTTTTTTTCCCTTGTGATGAGAATTTTTAAAGTCTCCTCTCTCAACAACTTCCAAATATACAATATAGTACACTATTATTAAGTATAGTGTCCATGCTGTATATTACTTCCCCGGGACTTTTATTTATTTTATATGCATGTTTTTGTGTGCCCATACGTGTACGTAACATTTCCTACCCCTGATGGTATTACCAAATGAGATTATAAAATCACCCCAAGGAGCTCCATTATTATTGGTTTAGAGATAATTAAGTGCTTTTATAAATTGAATACTCAAACTTCTCAGAAATTAATGAAAGGGAACTCATTCTCACAAAACTTTATTTCAATAGTAATTATATTCCACGTGTAGTACATCAGCCTTAAAGATACTTTCCAAGATCTTTTGGTAACTGAAAACCTTAGACTTTGAGAAAAAATAAACCTTAGATTTAGACTAAATAAAGTATAGAAGGTATGCAGAATGCGTTTTTGTTAAAGAAAAAGAATAATTTTGTCCGAAAGTAAAATGACCGGTTGTTCCAGAATGAGAAAGATGAATGTGTAGGACAAAACCTGGATGGATGTGGTTCTCAGAAAAGGGATTTTATTTCTTGTGGTCAATGGTAGTTAAAGTTCAATGGCTTTATTTATAAGGTTTTAAAAATGAGCTATAATATCAAATAGCACACTGATGCAAAACTAGAATTTCGTTTTCTCTGTTAATAAGGTGACATGTTTCTTAGATTATTGGTGTGCTCTTAACAAGAGTTAATAAAAAGCTTTTCTTTGCTTCTTGAGTAATCTGCCTAGAAAGCAAGGGTTCTTTCTTACCAGAATAATTTTCTTTGCTTTATGTTCACTTTATTATAGCCTTAATTACTTGAGAACCAAGTCTCACTTTTGAAAGAACTAAGGTTCTTTATAACTGCGTTGCCTCCTCTATTTACTTTTAAAATATTTTGTCACTTTGGTAAAGTAGATAGACAAGTAGTGTTTCTCGCTGAGCTATCATCTTATTTAAAGAAATATTCAAAGCTTCTGACAACCTCTTAATTTTACCTTCCACACTCAAATCCTTAGTGATATATCCTTGGTCTCAAGTTTTATTTGTGTTTTCCAAGAGGGATCCTGGAAAATCACAAAAGAGATTTCACTTTATAAAAACAGAGGTGCTACATATAATTAGGCTAATTTGATATGTCGAGTTTCATGGGCAGCTTTATC